TCATCCGTTGTCCCCGTCCCAAGAAGCGCCAGACTGCCCCGACCATCAACCTACCCATCCTCTGCTCGAGGGTTCCTCTTCATCGTCTAATCGGCAGTTCCTCAGACCATCCAGCCGTTCCGCAGTTGCTAACAGGCTTCGAAACAAACAGCATATCGATCTTTTTACCGTCGCTGTCGTTCTAACGAAAACCCTCCACCGTTCATCGTCGTCACACGCACCGCAAGTCCAAAGCCTGAGACCACACAGACACACAAGACTCGGCGCTTACCGCCTACGGCGTAGATGTTGATTATCCCTTGATTCTTCATCTACGTTTTGACATCGCTTTTTACACATCTTGTCTTGTCTGCTTTTCTGGTCCCTGACCGTCGCATATAGCATTGAGCGTACTGTTGAGCGATCTTGTCGTGAACAGGGCCGGGCCCAGTCTATCCCAGGCAAAGCCCGCAAACACCACTCTGAAACCCATCAACCCAACTACTCCCATCAATTCTACAACGTCCATCTCTATCGACACAATAAACATCCTGTCAGCTTCACAATGGCCTCAATGTCGCCTCTCAACACTGCTATCGTTCCTTCTGGAGCGTCCTCAAATGGCGGCAGTGTTTCACCCCAACAGACATCAACACCCAAGAACGTCGCATTTGAGCTATTGTTTCTCGAATCCCCCCATTGCCGTGCGCGCTTGCCAATGCGAGTGCAAATATACCCCCACGACACAACGGACTCCATTGTCACTACCGTAAAGAACTTTTATGGTCTGTACTCGGGTCCGACCGGGTCAAAGGGAGTCAGTTTCGAAGATGATCTTGGGAACACTCTTATTGCACGGTACGAGAACTTTCGAAACAATATGGTAGTATACGTCAGGGTTATAGAGGAGCCTCCGGCGAATGCAACTGCGTATTCTCCCCACCCTTACCATAACTCATCAGTTGGCACCCACCCTTACTACAGCGACAATGGCTATACTGCCACTCAGGCTCAGCGCTTTCCCCAAGAGTTGTCCAGGCCCAGCTCTCGGACATCACGGAGACGAAGCCCGTCCCCCAACACTGCTCGTGGCCGAAGAAGTGCTTCTGCCAGCACAAATGGGAAGAAGGGTCGTTCTCGTTCCTCCAAGACCCGAGCTTCTGCTTCTCGGAGTCATACCGAACTATACAGCGACAGTATAAACGGCTACAGCAGCAATGATGAGCATGACTCGACATCTGGAAAGAACAAGGACCAACTACCTACTACTGATATCAGTGTCGAGAACATTGTTGAAGGTGGCCGTCGTAAGAGGGCCAAGTTCGAAAGCTCGGTAAGTGGAGACCGCCATTTTGACAAGGCGGGCTCAGAGAAACTGACAACGTCGGCCTACAGGAACTTCCATTGTTCGCACCGCCCCAGATGCCTGCGGCGACATCGAATCCTTCAGTATCTCCTGCTCGCCGAGCTGAGCCTCATCGCCCCGCAATGCCATTCGTGCAGCCTCATCAAAATCCCTTCATAAACCCCCGCCCTATGCAGTCGCCCCAAGGTTATTCACATGGCATCACGCATCCCAATCTCTACTCAACCCCGGGACCCGATCGCCGCAACCGAAACAGTGGCGGATACACCAGTAGCGCCATGGGAATTCTTCCTACTCCCGACCCAACTATTGGCAGTTGTGTGTCTGAAGAGGACAAGGACGTTGCTATCCAGCTGATGCGACTTGGTGATATGTCCAATGTCTCCCACGGCCGAACCTCTGCTTCTACTCTCGATGATACATTTAGTGGCAGAGCCGATGCTGCATCCTCTACTGGCGCTACTAGTGATGGCGAAAGCGAGAGTGAGACCGAATTGCCTCCTGCGCGACGCCAGAAGCTAGATATTTCCAGCACTGTTGGCAATGTCTATCAGACTACCGAGTCGCACTTCATGCCACCCCCTGAAAGCGCCGAAGTTAGTGGAGACGATGCTGACTATGAGGATGGCGCTGACGAGTCTCTGCTCTCCACTGGCAAGAGCAAGCCTGGCAAGGCTCAGAAAGCCTCTGCTAAACCTAAGGCATCTGCCTCTGTTTCTAAAGCACCATCGGCCAAGTCCTCCAAGACTGCCCGTCCCTCTACTGGCGTCAAGGGTAAGAAGCTGCCCCCTGTCCCAAGTGGCCCAATGTCCCCGGCTTCTATGCCCCCTTCGCGAAAGCAGTCCATCGCGTCTACCGGACAGGCTTCCCTTGCCCCTGGCGAGGATGACCAGCCTGATCTTTCCACCAAACCTCGCTGCCAACGTTGCAGAAAGAGCAAGAAGGGCTGTGATCGCCAAAGGCCTTGCGGGCGCTGTCGCGATGCTGGCCTGTCGGCAGACCAGTGCATTAGTGAGGATGAGGGCAACGGCCGAAAGGGTCGATACGGTCGTCACATGGGAGTGCCCATCAAGAAGGATGAGGTCACCGCCGTTGTCCAACCTGCGCTATTACCCGCTGCACCCATCGCGGCTGCTGCCATGACAATGGATAAGTCCAAGAAGCGCAAGCGATGAGCGCCTGGCTTCAGTTACACTGCCTGAAGGTTTTCAATTTTGTCGTATATACTGGTCTTTGAGCTTTGACACAGCAGTTTTACTGGCGTTGTTGTCGGCTTACTTGTCATCTTTGTCGATGTGGCATGAATGACTTGTACAAATCTCCCAATGGGTCCCAACGGTTTACCAACAAATGGGCCATGCACTCAGATGTTTTCTTTTTTATGTTTTCCCTGGTTCTTCTAGCTTGCAGGCGAGAGGGCAGCACTCATGATGATACTCAGGAGGATGTAATAACGACGGCCGTTCGGCCATTACACTCCTTATACGGCGTTTTGAGACAAGATGTAGGAGTTGTCGAGTGTCTTTTTTTAACAAAAAATCTTTTTCCTCCGATTCAACATTGTTTTGGTTGCCTCCGGGCACAATGAGGTTGACGGTCAGCCACGTCTGAATCGCGATGGATTTGTGGACGGCAGTTCCACAAGGCAAACCACTCAAAAAAGGTGCGATACGGTGGGGAACAAGGGGCGTGGTGCTTGGAAAATCTCCCAAGGTTTAGAAGGAAGGACAGGAACGGTATATGGAAGGTTTATCGTATGCGTACTTGAGGCGCATTCTGATCGAGATGCATGACTTAAAAGAGATGCTGTCTGGATGCCACACCGGCCACGCAAAGGAACGGGTTAATGTGGCAAAAGGCCAAATGTTTCCGATATGTTATTCTGTTTTCTAGCGACTTTTCTATATCTTGTTGTACGCAACTAACTTCATACAACATGCCTGCGATTAATTAGGTTCATCAGTGCGCGTGAATTGAAAGTGTGCGACACGGGCTACCGTAATGCGCAGCTCATATAACGTCTTCAAAATGATAGGCCATGCATTCTGGTATTGCGCGACCGCTTTACCAATGTTTCGAGGAATATTTAAATATTGATTGCTGATATTGACGAAGGCTTGTGTTTTGAGGCCGTTTCGCGACAGTGGAAGCCCGAAAGTTCGTTTGCCGAAATGCCCCGAAACGGTCAATTGCAACATTGAGAGTGAGACTTCTGTATCACGCCTCACAAAACTGCACCTCCACCTCGAGCCCTTTTTTCCCAACAAGTATATTCCGACTCAATATATCACAATATTGTGGTCTATTCTACACCCTACCGCAAATCGGCTGCCCCCCCACCATCAAAACCTGAGCTAGCGTGCCGTTCCCGCCCCACCTTTTGCCGATATGGAGACAATCTATAAGCCGATTGGCCGTTGGGCGGCATCTGGTCTCACGTGACAGCCTTACATCATATATCTCTTTACCGCCATTGTTGTTTTTACCCCTCCATCACGAGCGCGGGGTAATTTCTTGTCGAGCTTTTTGGTTTCTGTTTTGGCTGACTAGGGCATTGATGTTAGTTGACATAATAAAATAATCAACCTCCAAGTTATTCAGTTGTGCGTTTAACTCGAGCACCGGTATATGCTTAAAATTTGAGATGCGGGTTGTGCCGTTTCTGAACAGTAAGTTAGTTGTGTTTATCTCAAAGTCAATGCCTAAGTTTATGCTATCATGACGTTTCAAGCATCCATCCAGCATAACAACAATAGCTTATTTCATGAACGGCGCAAACTCTTCAGCAGTCGCACAGGAATCCGCCATCAATTATCGTTGTTTATCTTGACCCCTGGCGCCGGCTCCGGCCGCGACCACCTGTGACTTTTTCGGAGACGTTTCATTGGCCCCACGCGCCAGACCAACGGACTTCCGACTCCGGATATAAACACAGCAGGCCATCGGAGCGGGGGTCGGTGGGGATCGGTTCGTCGGCGGTTAGTGGGGCGACCGGCTGAGGTTACCCTGAACATGAAGTAACGGCAATGCTTTTCCTTTCTTTTTGTTCACATATGGCGGTATTTTCAGATAATCTATTGGCTGATACTGAAAAATGATACTCGTTTGGGAGTATTTTACTTCATTTCTAACTCGATTGTTGACATCGATCAAGTTCATGTATACTTTTCGTTAAGGCCGGTTTGTCGAAAGCCTTTCTGTCAACAAGGTGGCTTACTGATGGAAAGCATGTAATATACTTATGCCGTGCTACCTGTAAGTCCGGCTTTGTTTGAACTAGTCACCGATTGTAATCGAAGGGCGCGGTTGGTTGTTAGAAGCGTAACCCCATGATTCACCATAACTAGGTCAGCAAATGATGTTGACTGAAATTGAGAGCAACAACTATGGTGACCCGATCTGGGGTTTGTGGGGCGCGATATCGGCAAGCGACCATGGAATTGCGCCCTTCGAAAATCTTTGACTCAATTATTAAGGAATCCGACTCTGATCGGGATGGGGCAGACACCAGGACATATATAGTTGACAGCTGCCCCAGTTGAATAACCCCGAAACCATGCCCAGCAACCTCCAAATTCTACTACTTGCTGGCCAGTCCATGCTATAGCATATCAATGGAATAGACCTTAATACCATACACTTTATCGTATCAACAATGTTTGGCAAGGATGTAGAGCAGACGCCAACTCGGAGGCAGTCGTCACCTTGCCCCTCTGAAGGCAATCCCGAGGACCCTCAGAACCTCCATCACACTATTTCAAATACAAACGCCCCTCCGCCGGTCTTTGATCCTGAAAGCTTCGACCCACCAGATGGAGGGTTCACAGCTTGGTCCCAAGTTCTTGCTGGTGTCTTCATCAATTGCTTGGCATGGGGCTACCCCGCCTCCTTTGGTGTATACCAGCTTCATTATGAAGAATCGCTTGGATTGCCTTCGTCACAAATCTCTTGGATCGGTTCCTGCCAGACTTTCCTGACGTTCGCGTTCTGTGGCCCAGCCGGCCGTCTTGCCGATGCTGGATATACCAGAGAGACTGTCGCCTTCGGAAGCTTCCTGGCTATCTTGGGAACGTTCATGACCAGCCTGTGTAAAGAGTATTGGCAAATATTCATCTCCCAGGGTGTCTGCACAGGTATCGGCTTAGCCTTGCTATTCATGCCTGCTGTGACTGTTGTTGGTTCTTATTTCAAAGCCAAGAAGGCATTTGCTCTGGCGCTGGCTGCTACGGGCACTGGGCTGGGTTCCATCATTTTCCCTGCCACTCTCCAATATCTCATTCCACAAATCGGCTTCCCATGGGCCGTCCGCTGTGCTGGTTTCGTCGCTTTCGTCTTGATAGTTGCCGCAAATCTCATATTAAAGCCGTACCTCGCTCCGAGAAAATCAGGGCCCTTGATAGAATGGGAGGCCTTCAGGGAACTCCCCTATTTATTGTTCGTGCTGGGCGCGTTTCTGAACTTTTATGCATTATACTTTGGTTTCTTTTATGTAAGTGGCTCCTTTCGAGACTAGCTGTACTGCGTTATTGTCGCTAACAGTAAACAGATCAATGTTTATGCTCGCAACGTAATCGGGTTTACAGCAGTTGAAGCTGTCAGCTTGCTACTGATTGTGAACGCAATGAGTATTCCTGCGCGGCCTATAATGGGATACCTGGCAGACAATATCTTGGGACCGATAAACGCATTTCTTATTGGGATGACTGCACTCAGCGTCATGGTGTACTGCTGGATTGGCGTCAAGTCCGTCGCCGGTATGTACGCTTTCTGCGTCTTCTTTGGATTCGTGAACGGCGCGTGTCAGGGAACATTTGTTGGTGCTAATGCGAGCTTGACCAAAGGTAAGAGATCCGCCGACTTTTGCTTTGCTGTTTGTTCTGTTGTACATGACTGACTAAGTAATTAAGATCCTCGCAAGATGGGTACTCGCTTCGGTATGGTTCAGACGATTTCTGCATTTGCTAGTTTGGCTGGACCACCGACTGCTGGTGCCATCCTGGATAAATCGAATGGTAATTTTGTATATGCACAGATTTGGGGTGGTACTGTGTTTTTGTTTGGGGCTCTCATGATTGCTTCATCTAGAGTTGCGTCAACCGGATTTGTTCTGATGAAAAAGAAATAAGAGAAAAACAGATTGGGCATGTACAAGAATACAACGATTCGGTACTTGTGATTGAATAAGTATGCATGGACTCTTAAGTAAGGCAACAAGTAAATGGTGACGTTTAAAGTGAATAGAATATATCAAAGGCCTTTTCATATCCTGTTTAAGTGATGAAGAGTGGTGATGACTAGGCGAGCAATCTGGCTCCCGTCTTGCCATACAAAATCGTGCTCGCCTCTGAGGTGCTTATTAACTTCAACTTTGAGTCCCTGCTCTCTTAGAAGGGAGGCCATGCTATCAATCTCCGGCTCATCAATAAGTGTATCCTCAGTAGACCATGCAAGCATTGCTAATTTCCCACTTGCCCAGTTGTCTCTGAAGCTTGATTTAAACCGAGCTGGAGAGGCTTTCTCCCAGGCAGACTTATCGTCACCAAATGCGGCTTCGATAAAGCCAGCATACCCTCCGTTGTGCCTGTCATTGAGCCCAACAAGATCGAATATACCTGATACTCCAACAATGGCAATGGGCAAGGATCCCTTGGGGTGAGAGGCAAGAATATCCCCACTCATGAGAAGTTGGAACGCGAGTGTTGCACCCGCAGAGTGACCGACCAGGATGTAGTTGTCTGACAACTCGTACCTGCCTTGTAGATAGTTCAAAGCTGACCAGATATCGTCTAAATGATCTGGGTGTTTCACGGTGGCAGACTCTTGGGGGAAGTCTGGATGAGGTGATAGCCGATAGTCGATACTGACAAAGCCAGCAATATCCAGTATCGCGACTGCACCCGAGATGACAATGTGCTTGATAGACTCGGTGAAATCGTTCTCATTGTTACGAGGATCACGCCAGGCACCTCCATGGATGAAGCTGAAGGCTGTTAGTGAAACTGGAGAAATAGCAGATCAATGGGAAACCCTTACACCACCCAATAACCAGTTTTCTCGGCCGGACGATCAGCAAACCGCCATACACCTAGTTTCTGACGGTTATGTTTCCCGTATTGGTGAGACGCATAAGTGAGCCGCAGGGATTTGTCTTCGGCAATATCGGCCATCTTGTTTCGCTTTATTGGGTGACTATCGACGCTATGACCCGAAAGGAAATGTTGATCACAGGGGTTGTTCGCGGAGGTCAGTAAAGGATTGGGTATTAGATGCGAGAAACTCAGATCGGAGGCGTTAGTTCTTTAGGCCGTTTTTTATAGCAGACACTTCTTTAAATTGGGGGCGGATGTTGTTCCCCGTTCTAGACATCGGCACTCGTTAGACCAAGATGAGGGGTCTTGGGATGTCGGAACTTTCGAACCCCGGTATCGGCCAATCGGATGAAGTTTCCAACTTATCGGGTTGGGCACTTATATCTGGCGTTCCAATAAGATCTGCAGAATTGAACAAGTCACTTTCTGGCACGATCCGAAAAAGGGACTTGGTAGAGAGAATCTGGAATATGAATATGAACTAGATTTCAATAGTATAGAGCAAAGTCTACTAATTCAGGATATCATAATAGGGGTAATACTTGGACATTTACGAAAACAGAAGGAGCTCTCAGGTTACCTTCCACAACATGCTGTAAGTACTTACCTATTTCTCTAATTCAGCAATTGCCGTTGGCAGGTGCATTGCTTTTTGCGGAACGGGGCGGGAAGAAGCACGTTTAAAGAGACATGGCAACACGGAACCACGGATGAACGCCTTCCGATGTAACCGTCTTGCCGTCCTCTTATCTGACAATTTCTACCATCTAAGGTGCTGACAGGACTTTATCTTCCTTAGACACGCAATATCATGTCCTTCTTCAATCTATAAATCTTCTGTCACCGAATCCCAGGCCTGAGACGATTAGACGATGCTAGGATCGCACACAAATCGGAATCATCGGGAGATAAACCGCTAGCGAAGTTGATGACCGACAGGCATCTTTGGCCTTTTGCTCTGATATGGTCACACCAAAAACCCAGACTGAAGATGTACAGGGGCATGAGTTTGCACTACAGGGGCTGCACGTGTCTGGTTCGGGAAACTGACCATGCTGTGCCTGTGAGATATGGATCACGGACGGAAATACCTTGACGCACCCAGCAAATTGCTCTCGAATCACCACTGTTTCACTCCCACTATGCTAACCCTTCCCGTGTCGCCTATTGATATTCATGAACTTCATGCTAGTCACGTATCGACAAGGGACTCACATGCTTCAGCTGATAGGCATGCTGGAAGCGAGGTGGACCAATGATCGCCAGGCCCCCTGTGCTTCAACGTCTCCCCACTTCCCGATGGTTACCTCAAAAGTCCATTCAAAAGCGGCTAATGCATCTATGAGCGGACTCAGCCCGGAGGAAATTAAGAACAGACGCCGTATTTCAGTGCCAGGCCTCATAAGTGGCTTACTGCGACCTGTAATGACTGATTCTTTGCAGACAAGGATGCAGTCTTTGGTTGCCCCAAATGTCATGTTTTGACAAGGATTTGGACCTAGTCTAGACTTTCCTGCGAGCTGATGCTGAAACGATGGCTGAACCGAAACCGTAGTTCTGCAGTGAAGTGCGGATCATCAGAATGTCCTACCACACCTTCGGGTTCACACTATCGGGAGAGCATCTTGGGAGAGTCTAGCGACTAGTTAACTTTTATCGTGGTGAAGACCGAAGATCTTTCTATTCTCACTATCTTTGATCAAAGTTAAGCCTCGGAGCCTCAACCAAATTGGCTAACTGGGAAACTTGAGACTCATAACCTGAGCTATTTGCTTGTTGTATGATTGCGCATGCTGGCATGTCTCTGTCCACCTCCTTGCTTGGGACCGTTCATGATGTGCATTTGATTTGCTCGAGTTACGAAAAACTCTATTAAGTCCTAACTGTAAGTATTCCCAACCCCCGATGTTTGGCGTTCAACTAAGAAAAGATAGTTGCTGCTGGCTTCGGCACGCTAAACAGGGTGCTTGGTTCAAACAATACGCCTGTTTTCTTCCCAAACCTAACCATCTACGCTACGTACCGTCTTGGTGACCCAAGGTTTGCTTCTTGGTATGCGAAACTTGACTGTGCTATCCAGTACAAGCTCGCTCAATATGATGTTGCTTCTTGTCCTGAGCGGATTGACGCCATCACCTCGACAAACAACCTGGTCTGGCGATGCCTCACCAACCCTGCCTGCAATTAGGCTGGACCAAATAGGACTTTGACAGATGCACCGTTCCTTTCATGGCCCATTGCAGAACTTCCATGGACTCGCGGATGCAACATCGCCTCCCGCTAGCTAGTGGCTTGAAGAATTCGGCTAGAAACATGCCTTAGAATGGTCTTCAAGACGGTGAGATGCAAGGGTACTTGAAGCCATCAGCTTCACACCCTCTCTCTCTCTCTTCTCGGTCAATGGCAGGTCTGGTACCTTGCATCCGGCGTATCACACCCATGCTTTACACACATCAACTTCAATTTGACACCCCCCCATCGCAGTTGAGACCCTTGCCCTGCATTTGATCAGATCCGCCGGGTCGGTTGGTGCAATCCTAGCATGTGTGATTCACTCGCAGTTGTGAGATATATCTCACAGTGAGCCCCCCCTGCGTCCCTCCCATTAATTCTGTTTCGTGAATTTATTTTATCTCTTTCATCTTCGAGCTTTCCTTTCGATCCTCCCACGACTTTTGAGGACTGGGCCATGCTCAAGCTCGAAAACTTGTTCGTGACGCTGCAGCGCCATGGCCACTAATAAAGATATTGACCTTGATGAAGAGAATGGGTCTACTTTGGTCGCAACAGCGATCACTCTGTTGACACTAAGCTGGTTCTCTGTCGGGCTGCGCACATATACAAGGGCTGTCTTGATGAAAAGTTTGCAGCTCGATGACTGGCTTATGCTCGTTGCTCAGGTAAACCCCTTGTGACATTACATGGACAACTCTCACCAAGACTTAGATCATCTTCACGATATCATGTGCATTCATCCTTGAAGGTGTCCAGCAGGGAATCGGAAAGCACAATGATGCCATCAAAGACGATGGGGCCAAAGTTCAAGCCCTTATGGTAGGCATCATCTTCTCCCTCGACACTCATTCTTGGTCAGATATTCACGCTATTACAGTGGCAGGCTTTGGCAACAGCGACCTATATTTTGGACATGATGTTCATAAAACTCAGCATTGGCGTCTTCTTGCTCCGTTTATGTGTCAAAAAGGTCTACGTCTGGATTATCCGGATCAGTCTAGCTATTATCAGCATCTGGAGTATAGTTCTCTTTTTCTGGAACCTATTCCAGTGCAAACCAGTCGAAATGCAGTGGGACTTCAGAATAAAAGATGGTACTTGTGTGAGTGCAGACCAGATCGTCTCCGCGGCCTATGCCATAAGTGTTATGACAGTCGTTTCTGACTGGCTCTACGTAAGTAAAACACTATGTCTCATCTGCTAAGCTGCTGCACAATACTGAATGCTCGATAGGCCCTTCTACCAATCCCAATGCTGTGGTCGGTCAAGATGACCAAGCAAGCAAAGGCAACTGTTATTGCAATTTTGGGGCTAGGCATATTGTGAGTTCGCTCTCCTCGTTATTCAGAAGCTCGCCTAACATACCGTCAAGTGCCAGTGTCGCGACCCTTGTACGCCTACGATTCCTTGCCGATCTTACTGATACGGAAGACATTCTATGTGAGTAGCGCCCGGATATGTAGTCTTCTCCTAACTGACTTCTTCAAGTTGCTGGAACCGATGCCATGGTTTGGACACTGATAGAACCAGGTGTCGCTATTGTTGCATCAAGTCTAGCTACCATCCGACCACTTCTTCGGGCTATGAGGATCAGAGGCTTCGAATCGACCGAAAGCACTTATGGCACAGGGCATTCTGCTGCTGTCAGATCAAACGAAAACCGTTCCAAAATCGGAATTTTGATTATGCCAGGCTTTGGCCCTGAAGATGTCTCACTGACCAATATGGTGTCACAAAATAACACGACCTCCCCATCACACTCAAACGACATCGAAATCATACCTCCTCGACACGTGGGCGA